TTAATTTAATTTTTAAATTAAATTTTTAATTTAATTTTTAAATTAAAAAGGGTTTTAATTTCAGCAGAGTGGATTTCAGAATTTTAAACATTTTTAAAGGTAAATTATGACCTGTCCATTAAAAGGGAGAAAAATCTTTGTTTATAATTTAAAAAATATATAGTTCTAAATTCTAGCATGTTTTTGTCAAGGTGTTTTGCTTTTGTCATCAAAGTATGCTGGCATTTGCCGGTGGAATGGGATTCAATTTTCTTTCATATCATTGTTACCAGTATATACATGAATAGAATAAAAAGGTGTATTTCATTTTTTCTTTATCATGTTATAGGAGTAGGTTGAGAATATGAGCAGGAAGTTGTTTCGATAATTCTGATTGTATTTTTGTCATATAGATTTCTAGATTTCTGCAATTGGATGTGTTTAACATCAACCTCTGATATATAGTCATCACAACTACCCACAAAAAGCAATTGGGATTGTGAAGTTCTGATAGTATGGAAGGTGCTTTCATTTTTTTTTTTTTTTTTTTGGAGGAGAGGTTAGCTATTTAAAGATCATCTGAAGCTGGACTGTTCGTATTTCAATAGATTCCGGAAATAATTTGGTTCTAATTCAGAGACCTGCTTCTTGTGATCATTTTAAAACATTTTCCATACACACATACATATTTGTTTAACATATATTCTGATAAATTTATAAGTACATAGAAATCTAGGTGTTAAATATATATTTTTACATTTCAGACATTATAAAGTCATAAAGTTGAAGTTTTATAAGCAGAAATAAATAATATGTAAAATCTTATGTAGTATATGATTATTGGTAAGTTTGTGACTGCTCTGATTAAATTCCTTTAAGATAAAAGAAAAATGTCACATGCAATTGTTTAGTCTCTGTTAAAGAAACAATTCCAGTAATCTTCTGAATCCCTTTTCAGCCAACAGCTCTGTAACATCTTGCCTTGACACGTGATGCTGCCTTTTTAACTAATTCCAACTTGGAGAGTTGAGTAACCATGGCTCCATCCAATTTTCCCCCTGACATCTGTGGCAGCATCGGCATTCATGGAACCTCTCCTGGAGAATCCCCCTTAGGTGGAGTTTGAATTTCTGTAAGAAAGTCATTGACACCGGAATCAGTCAGATTCTGCTTTAGGACTAGAAGCTTCCTGGGTTCAGATGCTGACAAGGCCATGTTTCTTATCTCTGAGATTTCCTGCCCCTCCCCCATGATGCTCTGTTCCTCCAGGCTGGCAGAGAGCTTGCCTGTGGGCTAGAGGGTGACAGACCCCCTTTGATGATGAGCATCCACAGTCACAGGGAGCAGACTCCTGCTATTCATCGAGCTGCACAGCTGTGGCAACTGGATCCTGCCTGGGTGTCAAAAATTGGGGGCAGGGCTTCAGTTTAAGCAAAAAGAGAAGACCATTTAAGTACAAATGAACTACTTTTGGCTCTCTGAATTTATTGTCCTCCAGTTGCCCTGATTTAAGATCCACCCTTTATTTTACTGAAATGTCAGAGTAGACCATCTTTTTCCATGGGCGCATGGAAAAAAAAAAAAAAGACAAAAACCACTACCATCATGTTTTCACACCTAAAAAGACATTTTCATATATAAACAGGTTGGTGGATCTTTGGCATTAATATTTTTTACAACTTATTTCTTATTAAGCCATGGGTTCAACATGAAATAAATTCTTGTTGATTCATCTTCAATACTATTGCCTGGTTTGCCTGACTGCAGGTTGTGTGGAATAATAATATTCAGTGGATTTTCATTTTTTTGTGAAAAGAAACTTACACATTTAATGAATGAACTGCTCAAATCTTGAAGGAGTACAGGCATGTTCACCAGGCATTTTTAGAATGACACTAAATGGAATCTATAGCAAGTGGCTATTTCTAGCTATGCAAAGCTTAAAAAACACATAAAGAGTTAATTCAACTGTACAAATGAATATGCTAATCAGGGCATAATTTATCTCTGAAGAAACATATTTATTGTGTCTTCTATTTGATTAGATGGCTTCAATGTTCAATTAATCAGTTACCTTTCAATATCATTCCTGAGAGCTGCTTAATTAATCTGTTGCACTGCAGCCCTATTCATTCTACTAGCAATTCCTCGCCCCATTTCAGATGACAAGACCCAGGAACTGTGCCACATAAAGACTTTATGTCAGTGTCAGGTGAAGGTTGATAAGTGGCTGACTTTTTTTTCTTTATTAGGTTAGTCAAACCAATCAGCCTTATAGGATTCACATTTGTCAAAACATTTTCATGCATTGAAACTAATGAGAAATAGAGGAGGAAAATCACCAAGAGAATGGTGGCATTGTTTGTGTGTCTCAACGGCAGTATTCTGCTTTCATCAAATGGATTATTTGCTTGTCTGTTTCCAAATGGTGGATTTTAAAAATAGTGCTAATTGAACCCAAATTAGTGTTCTAGATGTTTATTGCCTTCTGGGCACTATTTATTGCTTCCCAAATGCTATCAATAATCATCCCAGTAATAGTTCTATGAATATTTATCAGATAATAATCAGTTTGAAGGTACTCTGTTCACAACATAGAGTACCCATTACCAAATAATTATTGAGATAACCCACCTTTAAATTGCAGGTTCATGGCTGTTTCTCTCATCTGCTCCCCACACTTGGAATCTCCCTTCTATTTCCTTTCTCTTCTCTGGATACTGACTGAGCCTCCACATTGTCCCTCCATGTCACTCCCTTTTGCTCTGCAGAAGCAGAAGCATTTTGGTAGAAGTTGCACCAAATTAGTATGCAGACCTCATACCGTCTTCTTTGTCTTCCCAGTGTCCTAGGCCCAACTTTCATCTCCCAACACCACCTCATGCAGACCCACTTAGCTTTCCAACAAGGAATTAAAATACTCTGAGTCAATCATTTGTTATCCCACATAACTTCTAAAATAAAATACTCCTGAAAGCATAGGGTAATCTTTATCTTTATGTGGGTACCATAAGTCCCTGTGAGAGAAATAATAGTGATAATCATAATATTTGTATATACTTGAGTTCTTTTAATTTACCAAGTACATTTTAATTTTTATATAAAATATGCATTATTTTATTTAACACTATCTGAAATTATCCCTATTGCTATTATTTTACTCATTGTACACATGAGAAAACTGAGACACTGGGAGATTAAATAACTTGCTGAAGAGCATGCACCACCCTATTAAAAGGGAGATAACATTAAATGTATAATTAAAAAAATGTAATTCTGAAAATTCTAGCAGGTTTATGACAAGTGCTTTGCTTTCATCATCATCTAATACTATTGACAAATAATCTTCTCCTTAATTTATTCATACCCATAGAGACTAATTGCGCAAAATTATCCAAAATATTATCTTTTATATAAATCTAATTTAGTGGAAACTAATAGTAAACAAACTATTTTAAGCAAAAAAGAAAATTAATGGTGTGGAGTACTAGGAGATACCAGGGTACAGTCCTAGGCATGCTTGGATGTAGGTACTGAAATGCGTCATCAGGATATCACCTCCCCCTATCTGTCAGTATGCTCTCCTTCATAGTAACTTCATTTTTAAGAAAGCTAAGTATACCAAAGTTTAGAAAGTGGACCTCAAGTCACTCAGCTTGTGTTCCAGTCCTGGCTCCTTCATTTATCAACTGGTAACCCAGTGATATCCCATTAGAGAAGTTCTGAGTAAGCTCTTCCTCATTATTTACTGCTAAGTAGCAGCCAAAATAGTATTGACACATAGTAGATGATAATTAAAATTTATCGAATGAATGACATTATGTAATAACAAACCCTTGTTCAATTACTGAAAGAGATTGAGGCAAACCCCTGTGTTTTAAGTTATCGAAACTAAAATGTTATCCATAAGCTTGGTGATATGCAAGGTAATATTTTATCCAAAGTCTGATATTTATAAAGAAAAGTTGTTAGAGACGTTAAGTTCAAAATATAGAAGAGGCAATGTAGAAATGGTACACATGAATAACAAACATTAAAGCATATATTGAATGCCTTGAAAAGTTACAAATCGCCAATGACAAAATGCAAATAGATACTGGTCAGTTATTCACTAATTTATCCCCTTAAAAATGATTTCAGTGTTATATTGGAAATTAAGAATCCCTTCTTGTTGTTTTTTCTATGCATTTTAAGTAAAAGCATATTCATAGTTTTTTTTAGTAATTGTTTATTCAAGCTTGAATAAGACTTGTCCAACAACTACGTGGGGGTTCCCTGGACTCCTGTTTATGTTTTATGTGTGGATATACAGTCAACTCAATCTCATTCAAGTATTGAAAGGTGATGTGATGTGTTTCTTCTTACTGTGAATGCAGTTGAGTCCAATTTGGGATTATTTGCCTTTGTTCTAAATGTCACTAATGTCACTACTACCATGACCGCCCCCCCCTTAAGTATATATAAATGTAAATGTGTGTGTATATATACACATATACATATATACACATTTATCTATATTTATACATATGTGTATATTTACATATATGTACATACATACACATATACATATACCTATACATACATGTCCTGTCTATGCCAAAGGACTTACTGCTCTTTCCACAGTATATTTTAAAAGACTTCAAAAATTAATGTTAAGAAAGTGAGAAAATCAGAACACAGATGAATTAACTAAAACCAATGAGATGAGACAAGGCTGGAGACGATATTAGTACAGTGTGTGTTATGAGGTACTGTCCACTTCCCAGAGGAAGGCACAAGTGACTAGCAGCCCACGAAAACAGGATGTTATATGTGCTCTGAGTTTCTAGGTTGTGCAGAAGAATCAGATGTACAGAAGAATGTACGGAAGAATCAGAATCAGGTCCTGAGAAAAACTTTTAAATTTCCATGTCTTCTTATTAAATGTTCTCTAATTCTCCCTGGAATGTCCTGCCACTCTTCTCTTGGCTAACTTGAAACACTTCACAAATTCCTCATCCATTCCTGGAATGGCATTGTTAGGTGCCCCTCCTCTGTAACGCTATCATTTGAGACATATTGCTGTCATTGTGCTTACAATATTGTATTATAATTATTTGTTTAATCATCTTTCTTCGCCATCATTTCAAAAGCTCCAGAATGGCAGTGCCTAAGTATTATTATTCATCGTTTAATCTCCAAAACCTAGGACAGTGTCTGGAAAATTATGAATCAATAAATATATCTTGAATGAATGAAAGGATACTGGTATTGTGCTTCAAAAAAAAAAAAAACCTTCTAAATGACATACTCATTATAAAGATAAAACACTGTTTTCTTAGAGCTGTTTCTTATATAGCCTTCCTGACTGTACATGCCGTTCAGAATAAAACCCCCCAAAAACCAAAAAACAAAACTTTTTTTTATAGTCAAACTTTTTTTATAGTCAAATTGATTCACTTGACTCAGAGGTAAATTTCAGAGGAATGGTTTGATTGCAAGTCATACAATCTTAAGAACTTATTTCAACCAAATAGTTGATATATGTTAAGCAGTAATGAGTTCAAGGTTATCTTCTCTGGAGATTTCCGTGAGTGCAGTAGTGCTCTGTAGCTTTCAGTGAGGAGCCATATGCTTTACCCGTTAGTGAAACAGTGTACCATTGACTTTTGCAAGAAAGCCACACCTATGTGGGCCAACACAGGATTCTATTCCAACATGTAGAGAAATGTTAAATGTCATTAAGCATGCTAGAAATAGTGTCCTAGTTGTTTTTGTTAATTTTTAATTCTGTTTTTGTCTCTTTCTTTGATTAAGCTATTGGCTGTCACTTTTTACTGTTCTGTGAACACCTACCTCCCTACCTACCAAAAACTTCCAGTTTCTAGTTTAAAGTGGATCGGTAAACCAGAGATTTATGCTGATTTTTAAGTTATCTAAATAAAATAAGGTGTACCTCAGATAGGTACCTGAGAACTTTCTGCTAAACATGTGGTGGATATCAAACCTGCTTTTCCTCCCGGATTTCCTATCTAGATGAGGGCACCATCAGCTCCCCAATTGTCCAAATATGGACTACTGCAGGGACTTCTGGTCTGGTCTCTCTAATCTCAACCCCTCCAATCCAACCATTACACTCACTTCTTGGAGACTTTTCCCAAGTGCAAATCCTTT